GAACTCTACATTGAAGAGTCTTCATGACAGAGTAAAATATGACATATATCAATTTTTATTAATCCTGTATAAATTAAAGCTGATATTTGAAAGCGTCGTTTAGTGAATATAAAATAAGATCGACTATAATATTAATTATTTGCAATGCTATCAAATTCGCAAACAAGTTTCATACATTAAATCATAAGAAAAAAATAACCTCTATATCATATTTAGCACATTCAGTATTTATTGGCGAATATTTAATTTTAGTATTATACTTGTCCTTACTATTAGAAATCGAAATTTGATTACAATCAGCATTTTGAGATGCGATATTTCCAGTTACATCTGTTACCAAATTAGGCTGTAATACTTACTAATATTAACACAATGAGCTCTCGATAACAAAACTATTCAAAAATTTTTAAAGCAAAATGAAAGAATATCTACGGTCGATCGCGTAAAGAATCGGTAGTTCAGAACAGTTTAAAGCATATATATATATAACATAGCAATAGGTACGAAAGGAATCGGCAGCTCAAAGGTCGTTGCGCGAATATTACAAACATGGTTCTTTACTTTCGAATAATTTTATTGTTTATTTAAATAAGACATCATAGATAGTAAGTATAATAATAGATTGCTCACAAAAGGGCCAGTATGGTCTATCAACGCCTCTGATTATACTCGTATAAACTATACGTCATGGATATGCAAGCTATATTTTTTATTTTTATTAGTGAGAATTCCCCGTTCATATGAACGGAGAGAAAAAGACAGTAAATGAACTGTAGTAAGACAATTAATACCTGTAGATATTAGCTGTACCAAGACAGTTAATATCTGATATCAACAAATAATACCTAATATACGTCGCTATAACTGTTGTTATTACTATCGTGGACTGAAGTCGGGTAGATGCAACTTAATATAGTATGTATTTCAAGATATACTTGTATATCANATACTTGGATACCTAATATAAATCGCAATAACTATTGTTATTACTATCGTGAACTAATGTTGTGTAGATGTAACTTAATATAGTAGGTACTGTATTTTAAGATATACTGTACTTGTATATCA